ATCCATTCCCGATCGTCACCCGCTGCCTCATATTCTCGATTTGACAGCTACCTTGAAAGGTACAACTGTCTTTTCGAAAATCGACTTGGTTAAAGCTTATAACCAAATCCCGATAGCACCTAACGACATTCCTAAAACCGCCATCATCACTCCTTTCGGTCTTCACGAATTCTTAGGAATGCCTTTTGGTTTAAGAAATGCGGCTCCAACCTTCCAAAGGTTTATAGACGACGTCTTCCGAGGTCTCAACTTCGTACATGCGTATGTTGATGACTGCCTAATAGCAAGTCCGGACAGAGAATAACATCTCAAGCATCTGGACATTGTTTTCGATCGACTCCAAAGGCATGGCATTACTGTCAACATTCAGAAATGCCAAATCGGAACTAACTCCTTAGACTTCTTAGGACACACTATTGATGCCCAAGGCATCCGACCCCTTAGGAGCAAAGTGGCGGCCATTCTGGATTACCCAGAACCGACCACGATGAAGCAGTTACGAACTTTCAACGGACTTGTAAGTTTCTAGCAAATTTCGGCTGTCCTTCAACCATCACTACAGATCGCGGACGCCAGTTCGAATCTGGATTTTTCCGTTGTCTAACCTCACTATTAGGAATCACGGGCTTTCGAACGACCGCCTACCACCCACAAGCAAAATGGTTGGTAGAACGTTTTCATCGACAACTAAAAGCTTCATTATCAGCTTCAAACGTTTCACAGTGGACAGACGCTCTTCCACTCGTCTTGCTAGGTATCCGCAATGCAGTGAAAGCTGACATTGGATACACGGCATCTCAACTCGTTTACGGAACGACACTCCGACTCCCAGGAGAATTCGTGGATCGTTCAGCTTCTTCATTGAACATGGATCTAAACTCTTACACGAGTAGGCTTACAAACGCTATGCGTTCAGTTAAACCTGCTCACACTCGACCTCAATCTACTGATGTTTTCGTTCAACCCGAATTACGACATAGTACACACGTTTTCGTTCGTCGAGACTCACATCGACGACCCCTGGAATCAGCATACGAAGGACCCTTCAAAGTTCTTCAACGCGAACCTAAGTACTATGTAGTCGATAAGAACGGTACGAACGACAGCATCAGTATCGATCGACACAAAGCAGCGTACTCAGAAGAAAACCCTAGCTACGTCGATTTTTCTTCGGTACAAGCAAACGACACAGCCACTACACTCGTAGTACCCTACACGACAACCGACACACAACTTGATACTTCGTCAACATCGATAGAAAAACCTAAAACAACGCGTTCTGGAAGACGAGTAAGATTTCCAGAACATCTTAACGAATATTGCACGTAGGACATAAGCTTTATCTTGAATTACCCTTTCATAGTTTATTATTAAAAAAATATTTTTCTTAATATGATAAAACAAAAATACCCATTTTTTTCCGAGCGCTTATACGCGGTTTGTAAGTGTATTAGTTTATTTTTTTCCGCTCATCTTGTGTCCTTGCGCAAGTACGAGTGTATTTTCGACATGCACTCACACGTTTTATTTTTCCTCTTTTCCAGGACGGCTGGAAAAGAACGACGAAGTTTCGCAAGGAACCGGAATTTTTCATTGTACTATATTTCTTTATTGATATGTTGTACATTTTGGTCCCATAGTTTAAGGAAAGACAACCAGACGCTGCTAAACGGCGCAAGCTATCAGAAGAGTGTTTACCAACGACAAACTCGTTGGGTTTAAACTTCTGGCTGGTCACGTCTTAGGGGCATCATTACCTCACTATTGGGGGGGGGAGTGATCTGTAGCTGTAAATAATTCCCCAATTTCAATAGTTCATTAAGTGTTCGACATTGGATGCTGACCACGTTGTTTAAGTGGACTTGTTTAGCTGAAGGCTTTCGGTCATGCATCCGCACCAGATCACGTTTCAACACGGCGTGGGACATAGCTCCTACGTTTCATTAGCCAGCTTATAGAAAAGGTCCTCGATATATTGGTAACGAATCAAATATATCTTTCCTGCTTCTTCTCGTCTGACTTCTGATTTCTATCTGACTGGGAACGATCGAATATAGAAGGTGCTACTGGTAGCTAGTTGTAAAACTAGAATAACCGTTTACATCTTCATAAGGACGCTTGACAAGTTATCAGTTGCCCTACGTCTACGAGCTCTCTCTCAGTGACTTTGCTTGAACCGTTGTTAGAGGACTAACAAGGTAAACAGTTATAAGGAACTTAGAAAACAAAGAGCACGTCACTTACTTGCATCACGTAAGTTATTTGTGATGGCCACCAAGCATGTCAGAAGACTTTAGCTAAACATACAAAAAAGTTATATATGCATCAAATAAAAATGCCTGTGTCCGTATTTTATTACTTGTGTTATTGATAGTATTCCTCAATGTAATTTAACCGTGCGTTATTTTTCAGATACTTTGGAAAATATAGGTACGGAATGCGGTTTATTCAAATCTAGTGAGTTACGTATAATTGTCAACAAATTTCCCTCAAAAACACGACGAAAAGGGGAAAAATCGACATTTCCTTTATATTTACGCTTCCGTCCGATTTATTTTCCCTTTTTTGTCTTTATTTCCCCTTTATTGGTTGTTTGGGCGTGCTTGAGTCATATATGATAGTCGTCGATGACTTAAGTCAATAAATGCAAGTGCATTCTATGTGCTTGCTGAGTCTTTGGCTCACTCACAACTTTTTCCGTTTATCATATTTTGCTCCTCACATGTTCCAGCACACAAAGCTCCTTCAGGCAAGACGTAAACTTACCAAAGGCCGAATGTTATATTTTTCCGTAAGCAAATCTACTTGTAATAAAATGTCTTATATGTTAATTGACACGTCTGTACGATTTCATAAGTTTGTTACTGAAGTTATACCACGAGAACGCCTGTCGCTGTCTCCAAAAACACTGCTTACCGTACACTATTTCGTAAATAATACCCTGGGAAAAAGAAGAAAAAGAAAGCAAACGTGACCGAAATAAATGCGGCGTCCCTTAAGACGTGCGTTTGACGTAGAAATATGTCAATGGTTCTCATTAGTCACCTACTTCGGGATTGGAACGTCGAGGACTTCAATATGTCACTTTCTGATGGCGTAAAGTCACAGTGAATACAACCTACAGCACAATTTATTGTAGAAAACGTACTCCCCTAGAAATATCTGCATTAATTTTTCAACGACCACGTTGAATGCAGTTAGTTCTCACGTTTGTGCTGTAGGAGTAGCATCCCATAGACTGTTAATTCTTTCTCAATATCATTATGTACTCACCCAGTCTTCTCCCCAACTACCTAGTTCGTACAGTAATAAGGGAAACCTGTACACTACGGCGGTTTTGGTTTTCTAACTTTCGAACCCACTCTTCTTGTTTTTCTAGTTGTCTAGTTGTGGTAATTAGGCCTTTTTCACTTACTGTAGGATTGTGTAAAAACGTTTAAGCTCTTAGACCCCTTTCAGGCTGAAGCGTGCATCTCATGGACTAATCAAATACGCACTTCCTAATGGTCCTTTGCGCTTATTGCAAGGCATTAGTCGTCTTTCAATAAGAGGCCTATGACCTGTACATATTTTTCGGTTTGGTTATCGTTAAAGCCATGTGAACAGTCTTAATCATAGTTTTGTCGGCGAGACTAAAGAACATGGACGACCTTTGAACGAATCTTAAATGACCTTGAGAAATATTAGCCAATCAGAAGACAGTTAGCATACAGTAAAAATATATTATATAAAACTCAAAAATTAAAGGGGATAGTGTTCTTTTACATGAATCAAAAACTTATCAAGGTTAGATATAGGTTCAGAAGTTCTAAAATCATAGTGCATCCGGCACAGGAACTCATCCCCGTGGCTCCATAGTAGCCGACCTCTGAAACCATGATAAAGTCCCGAAAATTCTTTCAGCCTCGACCACATAGTTTCAGTGTTGTCGGTATGTTGGTATGGTTCAGGGTTTAAGATTAGGGTTAAGGTTTAGGGTTAAAGATGAGACTATGAATTATGGACGACATTTGAGCGACGCTAGAGTGAATCTGAGAGTGTAAACGTAATAACTAAGACTAAATGAGGGTCATAAACCCGTGTGAAGAATTCAAATTATGATTTACAGTTCATGGTTAAGGTTAGGAATTATACTTACGGTTTTCATCACGAACTGACATCAACTATAATGCCACAACTCTGTCCAAATGTATAATTGAGTTTTGCGCCAAAATCTTATGATAACTTATATTGTAGACGCTTAATTATCATGTTTTCTCTAAAATCCGTTGTAAACCGACCTGATGTAAGCATCAGATACCGAACTTAGCGCCGTGACCTTGAAAACCCACGAAAGCTTCTGATTGGCTCGTCCATGTTCTTTAGTCTCGCCGTTTTGTCTCACTTTATTAAATTTAATGCCATCACTGTTTTAATAACTTTGACTTCAACCGAACAGTAGTGAGCCGAAGCCTTTAGAAGTTAATTCGCTATGATTCCTATGTCTTTGTAATTTAGTACTGATGGGACGGAGATTTAATTTTGTAGTTGGTGCTATTTGCATACCCGGCACGCAGTGTGATGCAGCTCCAGTGTTAAGATTTTTTCACATAAAAGATCGATTTAACAGGATGTCGATTTCGGACTGAAGTCTACGTGCCTGAGCATCCCCAGCCACTTGCTATATTTTGACGTTATCAGTGTAAATCAGTATTGTGTATTTCATGATAAATTGGCCAGGTATTTTGTATATGACCAACGACTTAATCTGGCGAAGGTGTAATTCAGTCAGTTGAGCAGTTGTTCCGTCCTTTAATGTTAACTTGTTTAAAATCGGTCTGTATTTATCAGTGACAAAATCATCCAGTTGGTTTTTTTGATTAGATTTTTTTTCACAAAAGGAATTTGATGTTGAGTTTGAGAAGTAGGTATGTTAGTCTATTTTTCGTTTAAACAGTTCGTCACTACTCGTGTGTTTATATATTATAAATTTAGGAGTAGGAGCAAAACGATTTGCGTGAATGAACCTCTCAACTGATCAGCTGTATGATTCCACCGAAGCAGCAGAAGAAATAGAAGTTCTCTCTGCTATATATGAAGAAGAATTCTTTATCTTGGAGCCTGAGAACAAGTAATCTTACTGTTAATTGTACGGAGTAGTAGAGTCTACGAGATAAGGATCCAATCAAAAATGGGTGGTACTACTAACAATGAACAATTTATCCTTAAATTCCAGCAAGTCCCCGGCTATCCTTCGACCAATCCAGTAAAATATGAGTTCGTACTGTGATGTTATCATCTATGCTTTCAGATTGCATGCTCCTTGGCTTAAGTATGATATTTTCAGTGAACTCGAAAAACAACTGCAGCTTGTAGTCTCATCTTCACTTGGTTCCACAGTTGTTTATACGTTGGTTGAGACTATTCGATCATTCATGTGTGATTATTTGCCTTCGAGTACTGAAAATTCAACCATTCATAAAGTCAAATCATCATCACAGTCTGTGTCGGAAAATCACGAAAAATCAAGTGCGGTTGTATCGGTGCCTTCAGTGAAATCTCATCTTGACATATCTCCCCAGATTTTGCCATTTGCTTTAAACTCAAAAGTACCAGAGATTTATCATGGTGAACCGCTTTTAGATCGTAAAAGTATTTTCCAGGTAACTATCTTAGCGATTAAAGAAGTCGATATATATTTCATATCAAACTATGCTTTCGTTGCGACGTACGAGAATATTTTCACTAAAAGTGATCGTTTTAAACCAGAGTACCGTTTATCAATAGGTACATAAGTATTCACAGGTATTCCTTGGATATTAGCTATTTATTCATTGACTATCGCTGATATGTTTGTTTTTGGACTATAGAATCATGATTATTCTTTGGGTGACATCCTTCAGAGTTGGTCCAATGGAGCATGTACATTCACTCAGTGTTTTCCTGTAGCTTTTAAGTGTCGAAATTTTCTTATACGTCTTATTACGCAAACTGATTCTTTTTAAATTATATTCTCTTTCCTACCATTACTGTTACTACTGTTTTGACATATTCGTTGATGTCACGCTAACGGACATTTGTGGCAGGATCTATGTTAATTATAGCTGATTACTGGCACAAGGTTGTTCTACATTTCTATTTTGTGCCAACTACTTTTGGAGTGTTAAGGATACAAGGTGCAAGATGAGAGTACTTTTCAAATAGTTAAGGAAATAAATAAGTAATAATGGATTGTTTTGGTTTAAGTATATGGTAAAAAATGTTATTTATTGTTTTTATTTGCAAAGCCTCTCAAGAGATTAGCAGGAATCAATTATACTTCTATTAATTTGGTTCCGAAAACATTTTAAAGTTTATTTACTTTCCGTTAACTTCTCATTTGGTAATATTAGTTGACGGGAAGTCAACTTACCGCGTCTAGTGATTAAAAGAATTCCTAATTATTTTTGTATGTAGTTCCATTATCGTCATCGTCGTTTTCTGTTTTTTCACTTAGTAGTTACTTCAGTCAGTCAGTCAGCTTCAACGTAGGGACCAGGAACATATATGCATCGGTCCAAGTTGCCATACCTTGTTAGCACAACAAGATAAACAGCGGATTCATAGGAGTTAATTTAGTGGTGGTAATATATAAAAGAAAGGTTGTATATAAGGATATAATATATGAAGCAAGACAGATATAAAGCAATTTTAATCTCAAGGTTTAATGGAAGATAAATAGTGTATACACCTGCGCCATTGTGATCGATTCTGAGCCATGTTACCTAGAGTCTCCAACCATTAGTTACGATAGTCGCGCGGACCCCAACCAGGTAGTCTGCATCTACCAACATGGCTTAGACTAGAAGTTAGTGACTTCAAGCTCTGATGCCACGGTTAGGCCGCCCCTAGTAGTTACTTATTACAACATGTATCCTTGCTACCATAAACTTAGCATATGCACTTTAATATGTCCAGTTTGGAAATATGACTAATTTTACGAATGATTATCAGAGTTGAAACAACGTAATATACAGGCTTTAGATTATCTGATGTTTTATGTAACATTACGTATGTTGAGACTTTTTCCCTTTGATCTTCTCATTAGCTTGGATGTTATAGTTTCTTTAGAATATTTCAAGTGAGTATACATACAGAAATATATTTTTGCTAAAGACTTGGTTTCCTCTAGGACAGCTATACGTAAGTAGGTTGGTATCCAAAGTTGGATAATATAAGTAACTTTGGTTTTTGGGTAGTGTTGTTTTTAATGCAACTTAACTTATTTATTTATTTGTTTAAACACACAAACATTGTTACAAGGAGGCACCAGATAGATATGCGCCACACAAAGCATTCGATTTGTGTGAAGTCTGGAATACTGCCCGGGTGCACAAACCGAAGCAGGTAGTTTTCTTGGGCGGCCACACCCCGACCTAATGGTCTAATCCACAAAACAATGGAGCAACGTAAGGAGATGCAGTCACATAGTAACCGGTAACCAACGATTGGTTCATACGCCATTTGTTCCTACAGGATCATGTAGCCCATGTGCACCATTCGTTTGGAATCAGGGTTCTCCAACTCCTCTAGGTGGACTCTGTGTCTACCGTCCCTGTTAAAGCGCCGGACATTCGCTTTTCATCCTCTTAATTTCATAAACAACCCCCCTACCACCAGAAGGCAGTGAGTAAGACTTCCCTGTCGGTGGTTGTGTGCATATGGCCATGTGAGAGTATTTCGTGAGGGAGAGCTGACTCTCCCCACTCTTGGCCGTACCAGGGCATTTTGGGGTAACTTAACACCGAATTAAAGGTTAGTGCAATCAACTATTGATCACATTCTGCTAGATAACTTATGACATTTGACCCATGAATCGGCTAAAATTTCGTTTAAGTTGTGGGACGCTTTTTGAGATAAAATAATACTGATCAATATGAGTGACATTAATAAAATACTAATATCGACTATGTTGGTTGACTGTATAGGCTCACTGTGCACGTATTTCGACCCGTGGTGAAGTATCCCTTTTCATATCAACACTACTTATGGACAGAAAAGTTGCTACAGCTACTCATAATATCTTAGCTTGGCGTATCTCCTCCAAAGAAGCTGATTGTGACGATGATGGGGAAACACATGCAGGTGGTCGACTATTACATTTGCTTACATTATCAGGAATTGAAAATGTAGCGGTTATGGTGAGTGTTATCACTGAAAAATTGTATTTAATATTGGCGGTTATTCAGGACACCGAATTGTAGTATTAAGGGATAGCATGTTACATTCTATGTGACCGTGGTATGCTCTACAGGAAAAATCGTTTTTCGTTGGTTTTCACCTGAGCAATAGTGTAGTTCAGTGCTCAACAGCTAATGCTAGCCTATTTAGTGGTAGTGGTCGACATTATCATTGATCAATTTCCACTATGGAAAATCTTCTCAACAAAATGGCTTTGTAGATTTAGTTTTCTTCGTCACACTACTGAACACCAAATGATCAAAGACGACAAAAATTAATGATCAGTGTAACTGGTTTAGTGTCTAATTATTCTTAAGGTTCAGTCTTTTGGGTTAAAAGTTATTGGTATCTCCTATCACGTTTTCTTCAAAGTGTTACATCCTTTGTCTTTTTATTTCAATCTTTCGAGAAAACACACGTTAATTGTGGACAGCCACTGTTAACCAAAGTTATTTGTTGGTCGACTTCAAATGTGTGGTATTTGTAGCGGTATCCATTCTGAAGGGCGCGAACAAAAAGGAGACTATCGGAAGATCAAGTGTAAAAGGGTGGACATTGGTATGGGGGACCGTTAAAAAGGGGCATCTTAACATTGAACAGAGGGTAAAGCGAACATATTTTACACCATTGGAAATGTTATTCCCCATTTTATCTCGTCAAGTCAACCCAATAAAGTAAATGAAACTTCTTCGATAAGTCAAATGGTTTATCCACTTAACTACTCCACTCTTTATGATCAATCTAGACTATAATACAAACCATTTCCGAGGTAACATTTCTTCTTTTAAAGGGAGTGCAACGCATCTTTAATATTTTATTTAAATCACGACAGTCATGACAAATATTTTGAAACTTGGAAGCACTGGAAAGCTGCTTCCTCGTAGAGTAAGTTGTAATAAAATGATGATTTGTCTTACATTTATGAAGTTGAAGTTAAACAGTTCCATTACAATTACACTTCAGTTGCTGTTGACCCATTTAGACAATAAGAAGCGGAACACCAGCCTTTTACTTTACTTACTCCTGTTACTCATCGTACAGGAGCATAGGCCGCTCATAAAGCTTTATCTACAAGTTGAGATTCATTTGACATAACCTTATTTCTTTAGTCGTTTAAATGTCTTCACATTCAAAAAATGTTTATTTTTACCATTTGTGGTTTGTATGTTTTGTTTTCTAGGTAAGTCGATGGTTTGGTGGTATCCAACTTGGACCTGATCGATTCAAACATATCAACAATGTTGCTCGCCTTCTCTTAATTGAACATAAATTCTTATCGAATGCCAATGATGATAATGGTACAGGATATCAGAAAAAACATAAACATGATAAAAAGAAAAAGAAATGAAATGACATGTTTTCCTTTCACAAAAATTCATTTATGCCTCAGTTTTGTAAATTTATTGTTTTGTTTTCTATTATTATTTGTTCTATACATCTTGTATGAGTTAAAAAGAAGCCAGAGGGGGTTAAATCAAAACATGTTTTCAGTCTATGGTCTGACTTATGCTAGTAAATTTTTAACTCTCTGGTTGGTATCAGCGGAATAACAATAATCAGTGGTTAGTGACTTTGGGTGAGATGTGGTTCAGAGTCGTTCGTAATGGCACAAATACCTTGACTCTTTATCTTGCAAGGTTTAGTCTTTCTTTATATTATTGCTACTATATTATTTTAATATATTTTGTTACTTTAATCTCGTTACGCTAATCTGGTATGGTAACATAAGTCAACTCACACATGTACCAGACTCTATACCATTGATGATGATGACTTAATATTTGTTATTTTAAAGTAACTGAATGACATCACTTGTTCATTTAAGAGTTGTGATAAGATAAGTGGGCGATATATTTTTAGAATGAAGGAAAAACAAGGAAAACTGGTAAAAGTATAGTTATATGGAGAAACTTGAATGATTCTTAAAATAATCGTGTGGTATTTAAGCCACTTATTAGCTGATTACCAAAGGGTCTGTATAAACAATTGAAGCTCTACCACCAAGGAAAACCTGGAAGCACTGGACGGCTGTTTCGTCCTACTGTGGAACTCCTCAGCAGAGCGCATCCACGACCTCGCTTCGCAAGATTCGAACCCAGGACCTAGCAGTCTAGCACCAAAGCAATTAACCGATAGACCAATGAGTCGGCATCCGATGGTGTTGATGTTTAACTTCAACCAATCTACGAAGTTGAGCATCCATTCACCAATTGTCTTCAGTGAGTTCCTATCTCACAACAGACGTGGTTTGAACTCCCACTCAGTTTATTTGATCACTGGTTTAGAACATTCTCGTGCTGTTGATTCAAATGTGCATAATTTCACTGTTTTTCCCCTCACAGTATCCACGCAGATATTAAGTATCCGTTAAAGAATTTTAAGAAACAGTTGTTGATAATACAGTGAGGCTGAGCTGTCTATCAAAGTTGCATATATTTTGATGTTGGTTTGTTCTCTGAGCTGGGTGGTTTGGTCTACCATCTCAAAAGTTGCATATAGTCGAAAAAATCAAGACATCTATTTTTAAAAGAAATAAAAATACTGTATCTGATTTGGGTTCTCGTTAAAAATGTCACTTTTCATAAGATGTGCTGAAGTGACTACTGGAAAAGTGCTTACAGTTTTTTCCACTAACCATACTTAACATCTAGACAGCGGAACAAGTATGCTGCTGCGTCGTAGATTCCATGCTGAATATCACCCCGGTGATATTTGGATTTTCTGTTATCGTAATGTGCATAGTTTTGTAGATAAACAGATTTGGCTATGAATGGTAGGTTAATCAAGGTAAATTGTTTATTGAATTTCATTGTGTTCAACTATTTAATTAACCAAGCAGTTACTTATAATACAAGAAGCAGTGACACTCCAACCACTTAAATTGAACCAGATGGTAGAGGATTAATCCTGGAACCAGCAGTTTCGAGCCAAGCATTTTTAAAAACTATTAGTAGGAACATACCTCATGGTACAAAATGTTTATTTCCATTTCATAACGAGAAACTTGTTCTTGGAATTCTACTATTGTTCATGGAAAATTAGTATTCATTGAATAACTGATTATAACGTATTGTAAATCTCACTGAATTTATCTCTGTTATGCATACTGTGAATTTTGTTATTTTTCCAATTAATACATTTACATTCTAAGATGGATTACATTAATTAGACGAAACGAGGTTGGAAGCTGAATACTGTAACCCCTCGGTCACTATAAGACAATCTTCAGGACGAACTAATTTAAACCAAGCTCTTTGTATTAGCCCTGTTGTTTGCATGGTAGCCGTCAACTGTAGAATCGCTTCCGGATAATCATTACGTTTGATTATACTGCTATAAAATCCTATTTGTTTCAGTGTAATTACCTAGATCGTATATTCAGTTAGTAGACTTCATTGTTTGGCTTATCACATGAGAATCAGTATTTTAATTATATATTGTTTTACGATTGTATACTTCAATATTCACAAATTACATTGTTTCAACTCAATACCATCAGCCTTTAGATGTATTTAAAGTATTGTTTTAAAGAAAAACTCACACTACCATTTCAACAGAGCATGCGTGTTTAAATTAAGCGCCGTTCTAATTGTGATTGTATCATTAACTTTCAGTAAATAGGTAGTAGGATATAGTATAGTATTTTATTCTTTCAAATCTTAAATTGTTACTTATTTCGTGTTTTTCAATGGTGACTTTGTTTAAATAGTATCCTATTGTTTCGTTTTCAGTGTTACTATGGTAATTTTTCCACAAATCTGTTTACTTTTTTCCTTTCAAAATGTTCTCAATATTCATTATTGTTATAGTTTCAGATATTTGGGGAAAAATGGAGATTTATTGTGTATTTGGGTCTATCCGAACATTGAATATATAGTACACTGGGGTGTAGTAACATTTCATTTATTAGGAGATTGAATGATTAACTTATTTGAAACCAAAGGGGGTTGGATAGTCTTTAAAAATTTTTATGCGCTTCTGAGTAGCTATTTTATGCTAAGGTTATCAACTTGTCAATACTGACTAATTTCTAATGATCAGCATCAGTCTCTTCAGTATTACATATATGGTTTACTGATGCACATCAACAAATTTACTTACAGATAATCTAATAACCACTGATTATATCAAATTTGCAAATAATATGTACTTGTTATACTGAGTTCGAATCCCAGTAGACTCGATAGTACGCATTTCGGAAGAATCCTATACTGAACTGCAACTGCTCTCCAGTGCTTTCTGGTTTTTAACTGTTAGGATACTGCGATCATTCTGTGATACTGACTATCAAACTAAGTTTTCCCCACGTTAACATAAATTTATGACCTTTAGACAAAACATATCCTTCCATTCTTGATAGTTGGAGATTAAACAGGCTCAACTCAAAATACTTCAGTCATCTGATGTTTCATTTTTCTATGTCCTGGCTATTTCTTATGGTTACTCATTTTAACTTGCTTAATTTAATTGTAAATTAGACAAACAGTATGAAATGATAATAATTTATTTGTACAAAATAATACAGAGATTAGTTTAAAGGGAAGGGGATTTACAAATTATGATGAAAGATGATCTGATAGTAAAAGTTTGAACGGAGTAGATAATTCAGTTGACTGAAGATGTACAATCTAAAATTCTATTGTTTTCAGAAATAATCTCTGTAATAATAAATAATTTTATATAGTTGAGATCATGAGCCAATTGAAGCTAGACCACCATCGAAAACCTGGAAACACTGGTCAGTCGTTCCGTCTTATTGTGGGACTTCTCAGCAGTTCGCATCTACTATCCCACACTCGCGAGATTCGAACCCACAACCTACCAGTCTCGCGCCAGAGCACTTAACCGATAGACCACTGAGCCGGCATCCAACGGTGTTGATGTCTAACTTCAACCTAATTTCAACTATATAAAATTACTAAAATCTCCACAAAACCCCTTCTGATATTAATAAATAACTTAATTTTCAACAAATGATAGTCATAATTTTATTCAAAATAGTTTTACTACTGAAAAATTATTAAAGTAGTTATCGCTGAATGTAGGTTACTGAATCAATTATGATTCAATCTATTAATTAACTAAATAACTAATTTCTAAAACAAAAAAACATATTAAACAAAACTTAGTCTATACTCAAAATTCTCACAATATATACAGCAAACTTTCGTAGTCCATTGTTGTTTAATTTATTTAAGCACATAGATATTAGTACAAAGGGGAACCAGACATATATGCGCCACACAAATGTCATTTGATTTGTGTGAGGGCTATGATACTTCCCGGGTGCCCAAACCAAAACAGGTGGTCTTCTTAGGGGACCACACCTGGAGCCTTTGACCTGAACATCTGATTCACAAGGCAGTGGAGTATCGTGAGAAGATGCAGTCCCATAGTAGCTGGTGACCAACTGTTGATTCATGCTCCATTTTTCCCTCATGATCCTGGAGCCCATGTATACCATTGGTTTGAAGTCAGGGTTCTCCAACTCCCCTTGGTAGACTCACAGTGAGTACCAACCTGGTTAAAGCGCCGGACATTCGCTTTTCGCCCCCTCACTTTCGTAAACAACACCCCGGCCACGAGAAATCAAATACATATTACTACTGAAGTAGGAGTTTGTTTAAATCAGTTAGATTACAACTATATAACTTGTCTGTAAATGAGATTGTTGTTATTTTAGAACTTAGAATAGCTGAATAAGAAGCATTTTTAAATGATTGACGGTTGTTGATCAACCTCTTATTGATGTAAGTTAATCCGTAGATATTGAATATAATAGGCTTAAATTAAAAATGAATACATGAGATCCTTTTGTAAGAAACAGTATTTTCAATTCTCATCTAGACGTGGAATTAATAATACAGTTGTCTAATGAAGTAATTCTTATTATGATGATATTAATTAACACATCAGTATGTCTTATCCATAATCTCGCCACGCTACTTGTAAGCCTTATGTTCAATCTCCAATACGGTTGTGCATATGCACTACTCAAAGACTTTATAGTACAATGAAACCTCTCTCTAATACTTTCCAATTCTCAATGTTATTTTAAACGAGGTTACTCTTTGATTTAGACTATATGATCTTGGATTAACCTTTACTTTTCCAGTCAGGGACGCATCACTTATATGGTATTCAGATTATCCACAGTTCTTTTCAATGCCACCTGGATGAAATGAATGCTAATGTTAAGTAAGGAAAAAAAAACAACTAGAATTTTTAAATCAGTGGACAAATATTATAGGAATAGATACACTACCTACCACAACAAGCTTTCGTTGCAGAAATATACGAGCTTCCATCAAAAGATAGAGGGTCAATTGGAAGTTTTACACCGTACAG